GAAATCACAATGGTATTCAGAGCACAAATGCAACAGAGCTTTCAAAATGAAACCAACTTAATTAACAATGAGCTTCTTCTAACGTAAAGCCTGCTAATGACTTAACAGAGCAAATAGAAAATTTAGCCTGTAGTCACCCTCCCAGTTAAGCTCCCTGTGCTTTAGGAAGACCGCTCATCTGGTTAGGATATGAAAAGGTGTCATTAGAAATGATGAGGATTTGGGTAGCCTCACAAATAGGGGTATCTCCTACTTTTACACAAATTAGCCCAAGGTCCTTTTTATTTATGTAAGATTTGTAAGACCCGTTAAAGCAGAATGGAAATCTTAAATAAACTATTACTTCTAGGCAATGCTTTTTTTGTTAAAAAAAAAAAAAAAGGTGCCGGAACTCACACATGTCATACAACCCGCCTTGCCTACCCTACAAGGTTCCATCCAAAAAAGGTGCCGGAACTCCGTTCTGGGCATTCTATGAGAAAAAAAGCCCTGGTTCTAGGGATATGCACAAGATTGAAAATATGGTTTGTTTCAAGCTCAGAATGAGACAGCTCAATTCAAAGTATTTCAGTGATGAAACAACATTCAAAATGTTTCAGTATTAGAGTTACAGAAAACATTGGGAACTTGGAACACGTTCTTTGCTTTCTTGTTTTCCATCAAAAGTCACAAGAGTAGGTGTGCTGCAAGTCTATGCTGAATTATTTTTTGTCATAGATATCCCAATTTTTGTCTGAGAACACAAGGCAATGTACATGGGGTGCTTCCATATCTTATTCCACAATTTGGTAAGCTGGTCAGGCTGTCCCAAAGACATTTGACCATGATCAAATATAGTATTATAACTACTGCACTGCAATGCACTGCACTAAACTCCATTGCTAATTGCCTTCCAAACTGCAGTAAAATTGATAAAGATTTTGGAAACATTAAAAGAAATCCTTAAGGAACAATAAGAACAATCAACTGTTTTAAATTATGTAGGTGGAGAAGTTTGATAGTCTATGCCAGCAAAAATTAGGATCCTGGGGGCATCTTTTAGAAGTAATTGGGGCTCCTCAACAGAGAAATCTTTTTAAGTTTTAAAAATCCTGAAGCTCCTAGACCAGTGATGGCGAACCTTTTAGAGACCGAGTGCCCAAACCCCCACCCCCACCCGTTCCCGCTCCACCGTGCCCGCTGGACCACCCACCACCTCCATGGCCCGCCACAGATCACCCAGGCAGCCCAGCAGCGCCATGGCGGCCACGCCCTCCACCCATACCCTGCAGCATTATCTGCATGCAATGGGGTGCAAGGGCGGAGTTGCCCCCGCTGCCTGGCTACCGTGTCCTTGGCTGCGCAGCATTGCGTTTCCTGTGCCCAGGGGCGACTCTCCTCCAGAGGGCTGCTGGTGAGGAGGGGGCCGTGGGACCAGGCGAGGCTAGGGCAATGGTGTGTGTGCCCACAGAGAGGGCTCCGAGTGCCGTCTCTGGCACGCGTGCCATAGGTTCGCCACCACTGTCCTAGACAACCCATTAATATAATGAGAATACTACTCAGAAACATTTCTTACAAGGTTCCCTTTTTTTTTTTTGGCAGTCTGCCAGGTCGATGGCATTTTCTGATGCTTTTGAATGTATGTAATTGGGGGAGGGAGGGAATTATTCATGCTAATATACATGAATAATATTAAAATTACAAGAAGACATAGAAGGGAAAGGCCATCATGCATCCTGGGGCCAGGAAACGATTTTCTAGGGCATGGGTGTCAAACTCGCTGCATCACATGACGTGTCGCTACATACGTGACTTTTTTTTTGCATTGCTGGAGCTGGGCACGGCCTCCATATGATGAAACCGGTCCGTGGGCCAGCAGTTTGACACCCCTGTTCTAGGAGAATTAAGGCCCCCTACAAGTTTGTGGATCTTTGTGAAGTTGAAAAGACCAATTAGAAATATGGATTTCTAAACTTTGTCTTCCAACATTATATCAACATACACCAGGGTTGTATGTTGGCCCATTCTTTTTTTAGCAGCCTTTCAAAACTATCACAGACTTCCCCAAATGACATAGAATCTAATTATGGAAATATTATGCTGATGTATAAACAGTTCTAAATAAGCCAAATTACACTAAAATATAAATTCAGAGTATCCATTGAAGTATGTAAGTTGGGCACACTGTCACACCCAGGTAAACTGCCAAATTAATTCCAATATGGTAAAAAATGACACATATTAATTTTTAAGATGCTACACAGAAGAGATTTGACTGCAGATATCCGGGCTCGGTTTCTAATTGCTGCTGTTATTTTACACTTCTGTTGGAGGCTTGACAGACTTGTTGGAGATTTCTCAGCCCAAAGAGTTGACAGTTCCCTTTCAAATGTCAGCCCTCAAGCTTAAATTAATATCTGCATCCTTCAAGATAGTTTTCTACTCTGGTGATGACAGACAATGCAATCCTAAACAGTATTGAGAATGAGGGGCTGCCCAGCTTTTTCAAAGCCCACCACTCAAGCGGAACAAAGCAGCAAGTCAATGGTCACGTTTTCTTCTCTTAATTATTTTCTCACTCCTTTCTCTGTCTCAATGGGAAGGAAAATAGGGATGCAAACTTGGTAGAGGGACTATTCTAGCACTGCTTGAGGGAAAGGAAAGGCCTTAGAATCAGCTGGTCCAAACTCATCTTCCGTCTGAGCTTGCAACATTTCACTTGGGCCCCCCAGCACAAATGAGGTGTCCCTGTAGACCAGGGGTGTCAAACTTGCAATGTCACATGACGTGTCGCAACGTTATCGTGACTTTTTTTCCATTGCCGGCAATGGGGTGGGCGCGGTTTCACCATGATGCATCTGGCCCGCCAGCCGGCAGTTTGACACCCCTGCTGTAGACAAATTACTCAACTGGTAGGGTGAGGCTTTGCTTCATTCTAGCCCAGGGGTAGGCAACCTTGGCTCTTTTATGAGGCGTGGACTTCAACTCCCAGCATTCCTGAGCCAGCCATGCTGAGGGGAAAGGGAGAGGTTTCCATGCTTAGCCATTCTGGCTCAGGAATTCTGGGAGTTGAAGTCCACGAGTCATAAAAGAGCCAAGGTTGCCTACCCCTGTTCTAGCCCCTTCCAGTCCCCAGATCTGAGGGTTAGAACTGTTGCTTGTTTTCAGTGATTTGAGAGTAGCCCTTTCTCCATTTACTACAATAAAAATGGGCAAATATTAAAGCGCTGCACATCCTTTAAAAGAGCACAGCAAAATATCAAAAACATTCCCCACTCTACAGAGTCAATCTCTTTCTATTCTTACATAAGATAGTCCTAGACTGCGACTGTTGTAAGTTGTAAGGCACTGAAAAAAGTGACTTCTGACCGTTTTTCACACTTACGACCATTGCAGCATCCTCATGGTCATGTAATCAAAATTAAGATGCTGAGCAACTGACTCATATTTATGACGGCTGGAGTGTCCCGGGGTCAATGGATCACTTTTTGTGATTTTCTGACAAGCAAAGTCAATGGGGAAGCCAGATTCACTTAACAACTGTGTTCCTAGCTTAACGACTGCACTGATTAACAACTGTGGCAAGAAAGGTCATAAGTTGCGGCAAGATTTACTTAACAAATGTCTCACTTAGCAACATAAATTTGGGGCTCAGTTGTGGTCTTAAGTTGAGGACTATCTGTAATTTCTCTCAAGTAAAAGAAACATATAGAAAGAGATGCTGAATCTCCTTTCAAACATATATGTATAGGGCAGGGGTAGGCAACCTTGGCTCTTTTATGACTCGTGGACTTCAACTCCCAGAATTCCTGAGCCAGCCATGCTGAGGGGAAAGGGAGAGGTTTCCAAGCTTAGCCATGCTGGCTCAGGAATTCTGGGAGTTGAAGTCCACGAGTCATAAAAGAGCCAAAGTTGCCTACTCCTGGTATAGGGCCAGATGTCAGTATTCTCTTGTGCTGCAATCTCTGAAAGATGCATAAGAGTTCGTCAGTGACCACTCTGGTATTTGTGCATGCCCACAGTGTGCCTCGCTTAAGGCCACAATATTTATTATTAGAAATTAACCATTAATAACTTCTATAATCTTGTACGACCCAGACCACAATAAATGCAACAGAATTCCAAATTGCACAAAATGTTTATTTGCATTAATCTAGTAACATTTAACCTTCAGGAACTGGATTAAATTAGGGGGAGGACATGTTCAGTTGTTTTCAACCTTAACACTTTTCATCCTTAAAAGATGCAACATTATAAATACCACAAGAAGTTACCATGAAGGTAGCAGTGTTATTTAGAACTAGTTTTAACAAAAACAGAGCTTTAAAAACATTTTAGTGGTTTTAACAGCACTACACGTGATTGAGAAAACTCACACAAAGTGAAAATATTTAGAATCAGATACACCAGTTAAGTAAATAAAAAAAAAAACAGAGCTGTGTCGTTCAGATATTCCAGAATGGACACAGTAAACGTTTTTGCACTTTTTTTTTTTTTTCTAACATTCTACTCAAGAAAGTTAAACAAGTTCTCCACCTCTTGGATTCCAATAGCTAGATGGGAATTTCTTGTAAGGCTCTTCCATTCTTTTGCAACCCTGTCTCTTGACATGCTAAGAAAAAGAGTGAAACAACTACCGTTTAGTCAGACATTTACAGACATCGTCACACTCTGAACAGCTTTGGAAGTGAGTCTGATAAGATACAATTTTATAGTCATTAGCTAATACTGCATTGAAACCAGATTTTTTTTCTGGGCAGCCTCTCTGTCTAAAGCAAAGGCATCCAACTCTAGAAGCTAAATTATAACCAAGTGGCAAATGTTGAAGAGGTTACATACTCCTGCCCCAACATTTTTATAGTTTTGTTCTGTTGTTTCACAGGTAAAATCTCCAGAGTAAAATCTGAAAAAGGCAACATGTTTCATTTTAGTTTTTTTAAATACTTACATGAAAAAGAGCAAGTTACAAAAAGCATAAATTCAATCTTAATATAAGACATTCATAGTACAGTGGGACGTATACAGTAACTTGACACTGACCACCACAATGAAGATTCAAACCTTGTCATTTAATAAACACATCAGACAACCAAACTGCTGCCGTTCTTTATTGTCCCAACTACTAAGAACAACATACGCTTGCAGTTTTGCGACTTTAAGTCCCAGACGGAGAAGATATCACGAGTCTTTTTAGCTTCCCTTCCATAAAGGCCATTTGGGTGTTATAGTGAACCACTCACTATTAATATTCAAAAATTTATCAGCAATTCTTTAGTTTTCAGAAATGGCAAAAGTACTCTAGTAGGTTACACCCAATGGGAGCAAATTGGCCCCAACTAGTAATCTTGAATACTGTAAGGACGCAGTCCTAAAATCACTAGGGAGTAAACCCCATTAATACCATGAGATTTACTTCTGAGTAAACAGGCATAAAGTTGCACTAGAACCTCTGTTTGAGCACCAAATGTCTTACGAATCTACAAAATTACTGATGCTTTAGAGTCATTCAAATGTTATAGCTGTTAACTGCTGGTCACATTTCTAACTAAATTTCTATCACACAGATACCTACAAATTCTTCTAGAAATGGCACTGTATTAGGTAGCATTAGTTGTATTCTGAAATACACTCCACACTGGCAATTCAGTTTACCACAGCAGGTGGAAGATTTTCAGGTTAGTTTGGCAAAGCCAGTTTTAGAAATTATTATCAGTCACATTTTTTAAAATGAAAACCCTGGTAGAGAGATTATGTACCAATATGTGGAATGTAGCCAGGTTTGTTTTTGGTTTTTGCAAAAAAAACAACAACAAGCTATTTCTTTAACTTTTTTTTTTAAAACATTTTATAAAAGTCACATTGGTTTATCAGGTTTGGGAGGGAAGAGCTAAACCCTATCAGTCCATGATTTGTATTTTATGAAATTATTTGTGAAAAGTGATAGAAGCAATTTTAAAAATGTGGCTTCGCTATATCACATAAACTTCTATAATTCATAAGTTTACATCGTTTAAAGATGCAGAAGTTAAAACTTATGACAGACATTAAAAAAGAATTTGTAAACATACCACCACCCATTTTTCACATCGCCGTAGCTTGTTAATGTGGAATGGATTTTTCATAATGCAGCATGTTGGTTTGAACCACAATCCCAACCTGGGCTTAAATGGATTTAAATGCCCCACCTAAAATTCACCGGTTAAATGTAGCCTCCACATCTTCACGATGGATGCAACATGAAAAGGATAGGCTTCTGTGCAGGCCACACTGAAATGAATAGGAGTGCCATATTCTTGTCCAAGTCCTATTTATTTCAACTGGGGCTCTCCTAGGACTGTACTTAGGAGAACAAGGTGCTCCAGCACTTGCTATGCGAACTGTAATTCTACGAAAGAGTTTTGTCACTTAAGTTCACAGTAAAGCTGAAAACGATCAGAGTCAGTGCATTATTTCCTCTACAATCCCCCTCCCCACATTTCCCGAGAATTTCTTTTCCCCCAAGTAATACTGAGTCAAAGGCATATTGTTGTTGAAGATGTCTCTGTCTTCGTGTTTCATATCATAGCTGAAAGATGATATCTGCAGGACTTCTGTAAAGATACTTCCAAATAGCGTAATAATGAACTGCAGCTGCTGTGGCAACAAACAGATGCCAGATGGCATGGGCAAATGGAATTATTCCATCACTCTTGAAGAAGATCACTCCCATACAATAAATTAGCCCTCCCCAGGCAAGTTCTTGAAGTCCATCAGTGTTGTTCTGTAGATGAACAGAAAAGGGAACAAGTTTCTTTTTAACCCGAGCGCATGTAAGAGAACAGTCATTAACACTAAAGGAATACAGTACAATTTCTGTTCAGACTATACACAGACAAGGTAAAGGTAAAAAAAACTATTAGCAGGTATTGACATAAACAATAGCTGCTGGCTTAAAACCAAAAGGCTCTATAGTACAGCATCCTGGTTTCTGCAGTGACCAGCAATATATTCATTGCTTTAATGAAGGGAGGATTATTGTGACCTAGGCAAGTGTTTACAATCCTCTCCAGTAGCTACTGGTTTTGCTATCCAAGTATAATGAGGAGATATGGAAGAAGAGGAGAAGGGAGAGACAGATCTATGGGGAGAGGTAAAACTATTCAGGCCCAATGATTCATTCCTGTGCCTCTGCTTGTGGAAATAAGTTGGACAGTCAGATGGAACAGCCACAGACCTTGATACTACTTCCAATGAACACTAGGTTGGCCTCTAATAAAAAAATGTTAATGTTCATGGCATTATAATAAATCAAAGAGTTAACTAAATGGGTAATAGCAACTTGTATAGGGTTCACCTTCTGCCAACCTAGTGCTTCACACAGAAGAGACTCAGACTTTGGGCTAGGGTCATACTCAACATCTTCAATTTCCACCACTCTTCTCCCTGGGATTCTTTTGGCTACCTTTGAGGATATATGCTGGCTACTTCATTACCTAGTGGAAACCTTGACTGAGCAGATACAGATAGTCTTAAATATAGAGGTGTGAAGGTTTCCAAATTTAACTTCCATGCTGAAGTCAAGGACGTTCATGATTTCATGGATTATGTGCATAAGTTCGGATTCCCCTCAAAAGCCAATGGATCTGGCTGAATTCTAGATGATTCTTGGGAGTGTCTTCTCTCTCAAGTACCTTCCGGTGGCTTGAGTGAGCTGTGGAATAACTAAGGCTCGGTGCTCCCGTCCCTTAAGGAAAGCAGTGACAAAATCCTTGCCTAAGGAAATATCTCTGAACCCAACCAATTCCTACTGCCTCTCTATACAGCCAAACTAATGACAAAGGCAGTAGCATTGCAACCCCAAATGATTCTTACAAGTAATTATCTACATCCCTTTTATCTGGGTTCAGACACGATCTGGCACAAAAACAAGCCCTAGTCCCTCTTTTGGATAATCTGTATTGGAGAGATGCTTGCCGTATCTCTCCACAGGCTTTTATTATACTACTGACCACCGTTTCCTTTTAGAGCATTAGGAAATGCTCTGTCGTCTGCCCATGCAGTGCTAGGAAAGTTTCCAGGATGCTGGATCCAGCAAAGGAATGCAATCCCTATTAACAGAATGCACCCAACACCAGTGGGTCAGCATTGTTTGTGTACATCCATTAAAAGTATAACTTTTCTGTTAATTTAATATTACTAAAAAGTCTTCAGAAATTAGACAATGACCAGGCTATTATTCATTTGTTTATCTGATTTATATACTGCCTTTTACACAGGAGCTCACAGAGACATAAAGAATGCTCCCTCCCCTATCCTCTTCCCTATAAAAAATATTAACACCCTTTCACTCACTACTTCTTAGCTTTGTTTTTATAGGGTTCCCCCCCCCCCCAGTTTTTGTGTTTTTTTAACAATAATAATTATAACTGATTTTGGCATTTATTATTTGCTTTAGCTTTGAAGCATGCCATTTTGTTTTGTGAAATGGGCAGCTATATAAACTGGACAAATAAATAAATAAGAACAACCCTGTGAGGAACTTTGGGTTGAGAGAGAGTGGGTGACTGGCTCAAAATCACCAGTGAGTTTCTGGCTGCCGGTGATCTAGAACTTCAGTCTCCCATCTCTTAGTACAACCCCTAACCACAACCCCACACTGAAGATCTTAAGATGTTGCCTCTTTTTTACGTTTGTATTGTTCCAATACTAAAAAAAAGAAAAAGGGAGCAAAAAATAAAGTTAGCTTCTTAGTGCTCTTTTAAATTTGAAGTCTATCAGTGATTGCACAAGGGTTTTGTTTTTGTTTTAAATGCAACTATTTAGCGAATATGCATTCCTTACCATGGAAGTTACAACTAGAGCAGGAGAAAATCCCATTGCTAAATAGAAGAAGAGCTCCACGATTTTATACCTATGTACAAAAACAAAAGGCACATTAGCCTGCAATTATGAAAACTGTGCTTTCTTGCTTCAGAAACACAATGTATTTTTGCTTCAGTGTCGGCTATAAATTCCTGTTGTTTGTGGACAGAAGATGGAAGTAAACTTCAGCAAATATTTAACGGTAGATTTGTTAATTATATGTGAAGCAGCCCACAAAATGGGAAGAGTTTCTTGTTGGTTTAGTTTCCATGATTGGTAGAGAAATAAACAGCGTCTGTAAGCATGTGAGTGTGTATCACTCTCTTGCCTTCTCTCCCCAGTATTCGGAATGAATACTTTTCCTAACTCTGGGGGATGCATTTCTAAGTAAGGGACAGAAAAAGATGCACCCCCCCCCAAGCACTTGTGAAAAAGTATCTTGTGCAGCCCAGCATAACAAACTTCAGCAAGAGCACACCCTTGCTAGTGGCTCAAGATCTGCACAAGACCTCAAGTAGTATGCGGAAGGTCAAGCGGTGTTGGGCCAGAGTTAAATAGTTTTGATTTGTGGTGGGTTTAGAGTTTCTAAAAAATGAAACGTGTCCTCAAACGTCGTAAGAATAAAGGCACTGATATTTTCTTTTAAAATTTGCCCCAATCCACTCCCAAATTGAAGAAAACAAAAACTAAACCTTGATTATTTTTGGCCTTAACATGCTCAAAAGAAATGCTGAGGCCCACAAACTGTAAGTCTGGCACCCGTGCTCTACAGCAACCTTTTAAAGCAGGCGTCTCCAAACTTGCCAACTTTAAGACTTGTGGACGCCAACTCCAGGGGCTTATGGAACGAAGGAACTGGATGAGGCTGTCGGCAGGCCCAGAGGAAGAGAAAGAGACTTTTGGAGAAGTTGGTGACGGCGGCAGTGAGATCCAGGGGCAAAAAGAAGCAAGTCCTCTTTAACGAAAGGTGGAAGAGTCAGGATCAGAAAAAGGAAAGGAGGCGAGGTTGTCATGCAGGAATACAATCTAATTTGAGGGCTAATCCACACGGAGCTCCGTTTCCATCTGTCCTGTTTGCCATCGTTCGCTCCCTAGAGATTAAAATGGACGACCTGAAACTTCAGCTGGAAGCCACGAACAAGGGGTGTATATCGAAGGTGGTGACCGTTTGAGAGCTGTATGCAACGAAATTTCATTTTGGTGTACGCCGATTGGCGTACATTCAAAGTAACAATAAAGTTGTTGTTAAACTCCCAGAATTCCTCAGCCAGCCCTGGGAGCTGAAGTCCACAAGTCTTAAAGTTGCCAAATTTGGAGACCCCTGTTTTAAACCAACTGTGATACGCTTGTGTTAGGTAACACTTTTCGTATCTCCACAAAGCATGTGAAAAGATACTTCAAACAACACATTTGGAGGCAACACATTGGGCTAAGCTCCTTTAAAGGATCAGTCACACTTACTAGCATAACAATAAGCATAATGAAAACTTTCAGAGCCTAGTTTAATTTTTTTACTTGAACTCTCCAAGCCAGAAACAAAAGATGTGAATTTAGAATTAAGAGAATATTCAGAGCCTAGTAATTGATTTTCTGCACCTGAATGAACTCAGTTAGCCATAAATCCTGATCTACCTTCTGTCTATTGCTGTATTAGAAAATATATTCTCTAGAATTTTAATATTAAGAGTACAGTCTGGGTGTATAGAGTGGAATAAAAAATGGCTTGCAGCCACATTTTCTTTTCTTTTTTTCATATGAATCCAAGCTGTTCTCATCAAGCAGAATATTAAGTGCTGCTTTAATTATTTATCAAAAAGGAATCTTAAAAGCGAGACAAATGATTTTTTTAATAGGCCGATAATGTCCTCATAATGTCCTACGAGAGAGAAGAAAATTAATAATACAGAATGCAATTTTAGCAGAATAAAAGAGTGTGATTAAATGAAAATGGTCTGTTTTATCCTGAAAATGCAGTTGACTGGCACTCTGTTCCAATGGTTTTTTTTAATGTAAAAATACCACATATAAACACTTATCAAAGAGATGTATCACTAAACTGAGAGAGAGAGAGAGAGGGGGAGAGAGAGAGAGAGAGAGAGAGAGAGAGAGAGAGAGAGAGAGAGAGAGAGAGAGAGAGAG